GGGGTGGGGTGGGGGCGAGAACGGCCGCCGACGGTCCCGCGGCCCCTTGCAGGCGTTCGTCTTCCGCACGGTGAGCCGGTCGCGGCCCCGCCGCTTCGTGCAGTGCGCGACGGTGGGCAGCTTCGGGGCGCACTGGCAGGAGACGCTCTACAACATGTTCACCTTCGCCTGCCTCTTCCTCCTGCCCCTGCTCGTCATGGTGCTCTGCTACGGCCGCATCCTCGCCGCCATCTCGGGCAGGATGAAGGATGCCGGGGGTGAGAGCACGGGCCGGGGCCGCGCCGCTCCTCCACCCTTTCCTCCCATCACCGCTCGGTTCTTCTCTTCCTTTTTCACCTCCCGACGCTCCTGCTGGGGTCCAGCGCCCCGCTCGGGTCCCCGCTCCCCAGCTCGTTAACCCAGCGCTCTTAATTAACCCCCGGGCGCGGCGCTCCTCCTCCTCTCCTTCCGACCTCTCGCTCCGTTTCCACCCCGCAGCCTCCTCCCAGGAGATCCAGCTCCGTCGCTCCTGCAACAACATCCCCCGGGCCAGGATGCGCACGCTCAAGATGTCCATCGTCATCGTCCTGACCTTCATCGTCTGCTGGACGCCCTACTACCTCCTGGGCCTCTGGTACTGGTTCTCCCCCGAGATGCTGACCCGGGAGAAGGTGCCGCCGTCTCTCAGCCACATCCTCTTCCTCTTCGGCCTCTTCAACACGTGCCTGGATCCGCTCATCTACGGGCTCTTCACGGCGCATTTCCGCAGGGAGACGTGGGGGGCTCGCCGCTGCAGCCGGAGGTCGCCCCTCACCGGTTCCTTCCGCGCCGCGGCCGGCCGGGAGAGCAGGCGACACGACAGAGCCGGCGGCAGGGCGGGGGGATCGGGAAAGCACGAGCTGGAGGTGACGGCGGGGGCAGCTCCGCCGGGAGGGAGGTGCGAGCTGTGCCGGAAGAGGACGGTGGAGAGCTTCATGTGACGGGGAGACCCGCGGCAGAGCAAGGGGAACCCCCCAAAAGTGGGTTGTGGGGGGGAGACACAAGGGCTCCGTGCCACCACAAAGCCGCTCAACAATAAACTCAAGATTATTTTCTCAGCAGGAGCCCGTCTTTGGGCCAGGGGATGGTTTAACCGGAGCCGGCGCCGTGGCATCACCAGCGCATTTCCGCGCCGGGCAGGGTCTAACGGGCACCGGCAACGTGCGAGGAGCCGTAAGCCAGAAGCAAGGCGCCCCGCGTCAGGCAGAGAGCGAAACCTGGGGCAGAAATTCCTTTACAGGGTGCCGCCGGCGCTCCTTGGGGCGGGGGGAAGAAAAAATACCCCATTTAAAATGTGCCCCTTCACCCGCGCCGGGGGCACGGGGAGAATTCACCACCGCCACGGAGAAAGCCCGCCGATCTGACGGAGAACAGCGCGCGGCTAAGTGAAGCCGTCTCTTCCAAACACTATTTTAAGGGAAAAAAAAAAAAAACAAATGGCTTTTTCAACTAACAAGTTGTTTTACTGCCAGCCCCGAGATCAACAGCCGTGACAGCGACATCGACCGATTTTAGGCAAATCTGAAGTTAGAAAGGGACCGGGGCTCGGTTACAGCTTCTCAGAATGTTTAATTAAGGACAAATAGCAAGAGGACGATTTTAGTCAAAATCAGAGTTATTTAAAAGGCCGAGTTCACTTTCAAACGTAAAGTCAACAGAATAAACCCCCTCGGGAGAATTAAGGAACATTTGCCTGGGGTCTAGAAAACACCTTCTCTCCAGAAGAAGAGCGGCCAAAGCGCCAGGTCGCTGGCAGGCGTAATAAATCGCTTAAAAATGTCGCGGTTCGAGACGTAACCGGGCTCCGGGGCTGCGTTCACCACAAACGCGAGTGAAAACGACCCCCGGAAACCTCAGGCGTTGCTTCTTCACTCAAGTTTTCTCGTTTGAAGAACGAGAAAAATCTTGGAAGCAGCAAATCCGCCCAAGCGATGAACTGTTTTGCTCCTCCAGCTGTTCCTCAAACGCCCCGTCCCCAACGTACAAACCCCCCCCTCCCCGCCCCGCTTCCCCTCCCAGTTCCCCCGGTTTGGACTCGGAACGCACGGGTAGAAACGAGGCTCCATCATCGGCGTCTCCTGTTCGGACTCCTGCTCCGTCGGCGCCCGCCCCTGGAAGAGAGGGCAGAGCACGTCGGGGGGGTTATTTATTGGTTATTTCGAGCCCCCGCGGTGATTTCACCCTCTCTAATCTAGCGGCCTTCTGCGATGGGGCGATGTCATCAGTGGGCAACTGATGTCATCTACCTGGGTTTCTACATGGTCCACCCCTGCGCTGGCGAGCTAGGGGTGCGGCGGACGGAGAAGGAGTTGGCTGGACGGACGCGTCCAAGGAGCTCCGGTCAACGGCTCAGTGTCCAAGCGGACACCAGCGACGAGCCGTGTCCCCTCAAGGGTCCGTCCCGGGTCAGACGTCATCGATGACATCTTCATCGATGGCACGGACAGCGGGATCGAGCGCACCCTCAGCGAGGTCGCAGGTGACACCAAGCCAAGCGGGGGCAGTTGATGCGCCGGAGGGAAGGGCCGGCATCCAGAGGGACCCGGACGGGCTGGAGGAACGGGCCCCACGTTGAAGCTCGTGAGGTTCAACAAGGCCAAGTGCAAGGTCCCGCGCCGGGGCGGGGGCAATTCCCAGTACCAGCGCAGACTGGGGGAGGGGATTCCTCCGCTCCGCTCCGGTGAGGTGA